GGAGGACGGATGGGGAGGTTAAGCAGACACTGGACGAGTATGTGTTCTACAGAGAATGCAGTTGGTCAGCACCTAGGCCAGGGCCTGGCTTACAGTAGGCACTCAATGAATACTCAGCAATCTGGAAGCTGCTGCAGGAGTGGGGGATGAAGGCTGGAACCCGGGCACTGAAGATTCAGAGATGGAGCAAGGCCCAGGTTGGGGGTTCTTAGGGCTTGGGCCCTGTCCCAGCCCTCTGCTGTTCAATTCAGTGCACATTCATCGAGCTCCCACTGTGTGCCAGGTGCTGGGATCCGTACAAGGACAAACAGACAGCTCCCGCGGACGTTAACTGAGCAATCCCAAGCATGGGAGGAGGCAGAGGGGGAAGGCTGGGGGGTTCCTCAGGGTAGGTTGGAGGGTGACCCTGTACCCCCTCCTCTGGCATCCTGTCAGTACTTCCAGGGGCGGCTGGCAGGGGCCAACAACACCGCTGGGACCCTGGGCACCAACCACACAGGCCCTGCAGACACTTTCAACTTCAACAACTGGGTGACGCTGCTGTCCCAGCTGCCCCTGCTGCTCTTCACTCTCCTCAACTCCTTCCTGTACCAGTGGTGAGAGACCTTGCCCCTCGGGCTCCCCACCCTCTGTGGCCCCTCCCCCGCCCAGCTAAGGAAGCTCCATCTGGGCCCAGGTGGGAACTCCCATCCTTCCTCCACTCCCCCTGCATGTCCCCTCCAGGTCCCTCTGTCCAGCCCTGGCCTCAATCTCTTGCCCACCTCCCCCTGCCTGGCCTGGGCCCAGCTGATGTCCATTCTGCCCCTCCTTGTGAGCAGCATCCCTGAGACGGTGCGGATTCTGGGCAGCCTGCTGGCCATCCTGCTGCTTTTTGCCCTGACGGCAGTGTTGGTCAAGGTGGACATGAGCCCTGGGCCCTTCTTCTCCATCACCATGGCCTCTGTCTGGTTCATCAACTGTGAGCACCGCTGCCCCTCCCCACCTCCCCACCCAGTCCACCCAGGGTTTAGCCCAGCCTCTTCTTTGTAAGTGAAAAGGGCCCCACGTATCCAAGAAGGGAGGACAGCAGCCCTCCTATCCCTGATGAGAAACCAAGGCCCAGAGGGGAAGAAGAAACCACTTGTCCCAAACCCAGAGTGACCTAAGATGAGGCCTCCTGGCCCCGGGCGCCTCAGACCTATGGCTACACCTGAGCAGAGGAAAGAATGGGGGCTGATACACCAGAGGGCCCAGAGTCTCACACCTGCCCAACTTAGTCCAGAGTCTGCCAACACCTCCTCCGAGAAGCCTCCAAGGTCTGTCTAGTTGAGCGGCGGCCCCCACTCCTATCCCTCCACAGCCTTCTGTGCAGTTCTGCAGGGCAGCCTCTTCGGGCAGCTGGGCACCATGCCTTCCACCTACAGCACCCTCTTCCTCAGCGGCCAGGGCCTGGCTGGGATCTTCGCTGCTCTTGCCATGCTCATGGCTATGGCCAGTGAGTGGAACTGGGTGGCTGGAGGGCAGGGGTGGCCTCTGGGATTCTGGGAGCAGAGACAGTGTGCTAGGAGTGAGATGCCTTTGGTTCTGGTAAAGATGGAGGTGATGGGAAGCTGGAGGTTGGGTTTGGGGACAGGGAGTAGGGTTCTTGGGCTCTACAGTGAGAGAAGGACCAGGTAAGGAATGGGTTACCATAGGGCCAGGGGCAGGATTCCTGAGGCTGATAGTGGTTTGTGGCAGCAACCTGGGTTTGAGGGAAGGGGGGGACAAGTTTGAGATTCAGATAAACTTGGTCCAAATCCTAGTTCCACTGCTCCCCAGCCAGGGACATTGGACAGGGCACTTCACCTGTGTCAGTTTTCCCACCTAAATGATTCTTACAGCTCTGTCCCCAGATTGTAAGGTGTATGCAGTAATAATGAGCACGTAACAGGTGCTCAACAAAAATGACAAGTAGGGAGGAGTGAGAGAAGCAAAGGGCGGGGCTGGGCTGGGGCCCTGCACAGGTTCCTGAGTTTGTCAGTGAGCGGAGGCCTGGAGGTGAATCTGAGAAGTGCATGATGGGAAGTGGGACAGGAGGCTTCAGCCGCCGTGGGAGCCAGTGGGACCAGCCCCCTCCAGTCTGCAGCTGAAGTTTCTGCACAGGTGGCGTGGATGCCCAGACCTCCGCCCTGGGGTACTTCGTCACACCCTGCGTGGGCATCTTCACGTCTATTGTGTGTTACCTGAGCCTGCCCCACCTGGTGAGCCTGGTATTGGGCTCAAGGCCCCACTTCAGAGCATCTCAGATACAGCTCTGAGTCTGAGGCCCTGAGAGGGGCCAGGGGAGGAGGAGGGGACCTGATCCCCAAAGGAGTCAGCCCCTAGGGAACTCCAGCCTCTAAGTCGACAGGGTGGAGAGGGATCCGGACACCTCAGCCAAGCCAGGCAGGGCCAACGCTTTCCTTCTGCAGGAGTTTGCACGCTACTACCTAGCCAAGAAACCATTGCAGGCGCAGGGTCAGGAGCTGGAGACCAAAGCTGAGCTCCTCCAGTCTGGTGAGCTGGGGCCCCTGCTGGGGAAGTGGAAGACCCAGGGGAGGCCGAAGCTACCTCCACAGGGAAGGGTCTTTCCTCCGTCCCCATCTAGAGTCCTCCCCCTGGTAGCCTTGCGTGAGCAGACACAGAAGATCATGAAGGGAACTCAGTGGGAGTCAAGTCATCCCTGCTGTCTTTTGGGCATTGGTTTTCTCCTCTATAAAATGGGGGGACAGTAGAGCTCCAGCATGCTCGTTCTGGCTCGAAATGCATTTGTTTGAACCCTGGTCTCACAACATCTAAGCTGTGTGACCTTAGGCCAGTCACTTAACCCCTCTGAGCCTCAGTCTCTTTATTTGCAAAGGAGTAGCAGTGAGATAATCCATCTAAGGTGCTTAACTCTGCCTGGCACATGCGTGTGCTTAATAATAGTAGCTTAGCATCTTTCCATAGCTAATTCTCCTTGCCTACATCCTGAGCTGGAGGAGGGTCACTTGTTTTGACTGCTGGGAATTGCCCTCCATCGAGCCTGGCTGTCACCGGCATGACCCTGCCCTCCCCTCTTGCCCCAGATGAGAAGAACAGTATTCCCAACAGCCCCCAGAAGGTAGCCCTGACTCTGGACCTTGACGCTGAGAAGGAGCCAGAGCTGGAGCCAGAGGAGATCCAGAAGCCAGGAAAACCTTCAGTTTTCATTGTCTTCCAAAAGGTTCGGCTTGGCCATGGCCCCCAACCACCATCCCTGGGGAAGAGAGAGCTGCTCTCTCCAGCCCTCTTTAAAGACCCTTAGAATGGAATGGGGCCTTAAGACTTGCGTCCGCTTCAAGGTATCAGGGTCATAGTGGGCCAGGAACACAGTTAGGCCAGGCCCCAGGTGTCCTGTGCCCTGGCCGGTGCTTGGCGCTTGGGGGTTGGGGCTGCACGTTGGGCTCTAATCTGCCCCGCTGCTTACACCCCTGCCTCTGGCTCCCAGATCTGGCTGACGGCGCTGTGCCTTGTGTTGGTCTTCGCAGTCACCCTGTCTGTCTTCCCCGCTATCACAGCCATGGTGACCAGCTCCACCAGTCCTGGGAAGTGGAGTGAGTGTTGGGAAGCAGAACAGGGCAGGGCAGGGGAGAGGGAGGGAGGAGGAATGAAAGGGAGGAGGAGGGAAGAGGAAGGAGGGACCAGGATGAGCCCTCTTTCTCTCCCAGGTCAGTTCTTCAACCCTATCTGCTGCTTCCTGCTCTTTAACATCATGGACTGGGTGGGGCGGAGTCTGACCTCTTACTTCCTATGGGTGAGCATACCTGGGCTGGGGGGGCCCGATGGTTTCAGGAAGCAGTTGGAGATCAGAGGGTGTGAAAGAGCACAGAAAGGTGGTTTCCTAAAAGTCTGACCACTCTAGGTCTGGCAACAGAACAGCTGGCCAAGAGGTAGTGAGCACCTGGCCCCTGGAGGTATGCAAGCCAGGGCTTGGACTGTGAGCTCCTTGAAAGCAGAAGCCACGTCCAAATGGCCTATGTTCCCCAGCATCCAGCCCAGAACCCAGCCCTCGGTCCTCAGGGAATGTTACACGGAGGTTCCCGTACCAAATGAGACGCTGGACAAGATTCTAGTGTTTGGACTGCTTTTAGCCAAGGTGCTCCTTCTTTAAATGAAATCTTCCAAGGAGATACAATAAATAAAGGAGATTGAAGAGGAGTTGCTCTGATCCAAGCTAGGATGGGGCCTGGATCCCCGGCTTCCAATCCCATTCAGCAACCCCATGTGCCCCGAAGGGGTCTGCGGAACCCCCAAGGGTACTTGGAGGAACCCGGCTTGAAAACCAAAGATGGTGTCTAAGGTCTCTTCCAGTTCTGCCACGGAGAGAGCCCAAGCTGGAGCTCGGAGGGGCAGAGGCGAGCCCCAGGCCAGTCCCTGATGGCTGGGTGGCCTTGGCCCAGCCCCTCACTCTCCGGAGGCCCGAGGGCCAGGTCCTCACCGGCTCACGTAGAGTCACAGGTCAGGGGAAGTGACAGTCTGTCCGGGGTGGGCTCCGGGCACCTCCCTCACCCCGGCTTCTGCCACAGCCGGATGAGGACAGCCGGCTGCTGCCCCTGCTCGTCTGCCTGCGCGTCCTATTCGTGCCTCTCTTCATGCTGTGCCACGTGCCCGAGAGGTCCCGGCTGCCCGTCCTCTTCCCGCAGGATGCCTACTTCATCACTTTCATGCTGCTCTTCGCGGTGTCCAACGGTTACCTGATGTCCCTTACCATGTGCCTGGCACCCAGGTCTGGGGGTTGGGAGGGTGGGCCTGGGAGTGGGGAGGTGGCCTAGCTCTTCTTGAGGGGGACGGCCTGCAGGAGAGGGTCCACTCTGCTTCCCGCCAGCCCAGCCCTGGCTGTCTCTAGGTGCCAGCCACCCTGTCAGGTCAGGCCTTCCCTGCCGAGCCGGCCCCGGGGCAGGAATGGAGAGGAAGCCCCAGCCCGGGAGGTTCCTGCCAATAAAGTAGCCCAGGCACTGGTTCTAGGACCTCCTCTCTGGGCCTGTTTCCTCACTTGTGAAACAAATGGGTTGAACTATCATTCCTTAGGGCCCAGCTACTCCCCCCAGATTCTCAGCTGAAGGGGAGCGAAGGTGTTGATCAAAAGTGGAGGGTTCATGGCCTATTTATGCTAGGGACAACGGAGCTGAGAATCCAGAGAGAGGAAAGGTGACGGGGACAACCAGGCTGGGGACGTTTTGTCAAGAGGGAAGGCAGTGGAGTCTAGAGTCCTGTAATATTGGACTTGCAGGGCATGAGAGATGTCCCCATCAGTGGCCTCGTTTTACAGATCGGGGAAACTGAAGTGAGGTGTCCTGTCGTAAGGGGGGGCACAGGGCACTGGGGCTGGGTCCAGGATTGGCCCAATGTTTTCTAAGAGCCTACTCCCGTGTGTTCTAGGCAGGTGCTGCCACATGAGAGGGAGGTGGCCGGCACCCTGATGACCTTCTTCCTGGCCCTGGGGCTCTCCTGTGGAGCCGCCCTCTCCTTCCTCTTCAAGGCGTTGCTCTGAATGCTCCGTTCCGGGCTCGCCCACGGCTCTCTCTTCGCTACCCCTTCGGAGCTGAGACCCCCGTGCAGGGGGAATGGCGAGCCGGGCCCAAGCCTCTGCTGGGCTGGTGCCCCTCGGTCTGGAAGTGCCACTTGGAAGTGGGTGCTGCTCTCCTTCCCGGGCTGGTGTCCGTTTGGGGGCTGCGAGGAAGAATTCACCAGCGGTCATTCTAACCCCCCGCCCCCAGCAGTGGAGCTGAATCACAGAGACAGACTATTCAGAGGCACACAAGACCTCTCTGCACAGGTGCCGATCAGGGAAAGAGGGCCAAGGACCATGGCCCTTCCTCACCATCAAGAGTACATTTGTTAATCTCAAGACACGCACTTGCTGATCTGTGGCAACTGGAGGCCACCAGCGGGGTCTTGCCACAGGCGTGGCTGCTGGGGCCCAGCCTGGGGTTCAGAGTGGGAGTGGGGGCCAGCCTGTCCAGGGCAGGCCTGCCCCTCCCCAGGCCTTAGCAACTCCACGATCGGATGTCTCAGACCCCAGGGCAGAGGATGCCTGGGAGGCCGAGGGCAGCAGGGAGAAGGAACGGGCATTAGGGATCTGAAGGTACTCAAAGGACCATCTGGGCCTCACACAGTGTTTGCGTAGCCAACACTTACTGTCCCCGCTCCCCAGAGCCCGGCTGGGCCTGGGTCCCGGAGCTGCGGGCGGCTTACATGTGTGCACCCCACTTTACAATTTGCAAAGCTCTCCCACACCCATTCTCTTACGGAAGCCACATTGAGACACTTGGGGGAGCCAGGCAGGGACGGTGCTGTCCCTCTGTACAGGTGAGGAAACCGGATCTCGGGGGGAAATGACCTGGTCCGTGGCCGAGCCAGGACCCAGCCCCCACCTCTCTCCTCCCTATAGGTGCTGTTCTTCCTGCCCACTATTTGCTTCTCCTTCCCTCACGAGGCTCGAGGCAGGAGTCCTAAGCACTTGCTCCCCACTTTTTGCTGTTTTCCTTCCAAACCCACTCCTGGGTCTAATAACAACCTTCTTCATTTGTATCATCAATTCACGGAGTCTTTATTTCCAAAGCGCTTTGATAAGCTGGGTAGGGTAGGGCTAATTGTACCCATTTGACAGATGGGATGACTGAGGCCCTGAGAGGGGCAGGGATTCGTGGGCATCCCTCTGCTGGGCCCTCTTGACCACATGATGTCCTGTGCTCCTGGGCAAAGCACCTGGCTGCACGGACAGCTATTGCTTTCCCCCTCCACTGGTGTCCCCTGCCTCCCCAGGCCCTCCTTCTCAAAAATGGAGCCTCAGAGAGGCAGTCAGCCAATTTTCTAGAGGGACGGAAGAAAGGCTTGTCCCACCACACATCCGTACTACCCTGCCCAGCCCAGAGAAGAGCACAGGTTTTTGCTTTTAGAGGCACCGGCCTTTCTGCCCACTTGCCCTCCTGCCTTCCATGAACATTCCCTGAAGCAGCTATTATACACCAGGCGCTGAGCCAGCACAGGGCCCCTGCTCAGAGGTAAGATGACCGATATGACCTTGGCAGCTGAAATAAAGCCGCAGGGGAGACCCCAAATGACCACTATTCACTGTGCCAGGCCCTGGCTGGTCTGGTGACCCTGAAACAAAGGAGACACAGTCCCTGCTCCCAAGGCCAAGGAAGCAGAATGTAGCAGGTGATGGGGTCTGTGAGGGCCCTGCAGAAGCGTGTAGTGTAAGAGTCCAAAAAAGGATGCCTGGATTCCTCTTGGAAGTCAGGGTGGCAGCCCTGAGGCCTCAAGAGAAGAAAAATGCGTTTCCTGGGCTGAGGTGGGGGAGGGGCATCCCAGGCAGAGGTACCAGGGAGGGTGGAAGGCAGACACTGAACATTCAGGGGGCA